AGATTAACTTTCAATCGGCAAATTATGGACGCCACCGCCACTTCGCCGCTATCTCAACCTCCCCCCTCCACCGCCTCCCCCGCCGGGCCAATCGGGCTCTTAGCACAGATTCATTAACCCAAGTGCATGTGCTTTTATAGCCGCATGCACCTTCGCCCTCTGTCTACGGTCGATTCGCTCTCGAGGACCCCTCGTCGCAGAATTGATGTCATTCGAGAACACTGTCGTGCTAAGGAAAAACGCCGTATGAGCCTTCAGGCGTTGTCAAATTTCCTTCGACAAATCACTAGTTTTCAGGAACATTTGTGAATATTATTTCTTCGATTTTCCAGAGGATTTTGTTCGTAATTTTATCTGAAAAGTCTGAAAATTTCAATGAGAAAGATGCGTAACTTTTTTCAAAAATACATGTTTTATTCGGGGAAATTTGGCAATTCTCGAATGTTCATATGACGTTCTTCCTTAGCACGGCAGACATTTAGAGCGATACCTTGGTGGAAAAGACAGTAGTATGGCATAGAGGAAAAGAGGAGGTGTTTTCATCTCGAGGATTGTCTGTCCCGTGACGTAGATCGGTACAGGTTCCCTAGCAAAAGCCAGAGTTCGGAGAATGAAAAATGGATCATAACGTTCGATTTTATTGCATACATCAACTCATGATATATTTTCTAACACTTTCTACGGTGTGACTTTTTTCCATAGTCTAAACCATTTTCAAGACGAATATAGCAATCGGTCATTTCCACTCCCCGCTCGCCTATCGAACGACCGCTCCATGTGTTTTACGTTTTTTCGTAGGCCACCACCAATCTATAGTTTCTATATCGTGGGGACTACCTGCTTGGTTGTCAGTGGAGTCGACTGAAAAGCTCCCTCACGTGAGCGTACAGTTAGCGAACGGCGTCGGATGCCGGCAGCTACAACTCCAGTCTCGCACACCTACATGTTCCGACCCCAGTCGGCTCACACTCATTTGTAAAACAACGTTCTTATCCCCCGCGAAACAACGCCGCAAGCATCCGCAACGCCGCCGCACAGAGGTCCGTATCTAGGACGTAGCCTCAGCGCTGTCGATGTATTGAAAACACTACCCGATATAGTCCGAGAGCCATGCAGACGAGATTTAGTGACAAACTGGTGACACAAGATTTGACCACTTAAATCGATAGCCTTACATGCACTGCCACGGAAAATGGTTGTGTGCAAGGCTGTAGCGTGTGCCAATACGCAGCAGACACCCATTTTCCGTGCCAGTGCAGATTTAAGTGGTCAAAACTTGTGTCACGAGTTTGTGACTAAATATCGTCTGGCTCTCGGACTAATGCGTAGAGTTTAAACATTTGCGGATTACTCCGCATATCTTGGGGGAATGCGGACTCTCAGAGGATACTTAAGGTGAATCTGTAGTTCCAAAAAAATCCACCACGTCGCGCTGCCAAAATTCAGCTCCGAAATCAGTGATTATTTAAAGATTAAAAAAGATATATTCAATTCCAAGACTCATAGTTAGTAGTAGCAGCATACGTCTGGAATGCTTAGAAACAAACGCGAGCTTTGAACGTTTAATAATAATAGCTATATAACGTCAAACATCAGTCGGTCATGCCGTACCACGATTAATACTGCAGTGCTAAGGAAAAACGTCGTATGAGCCTTCAGACGTAGCCAAATTTTCTTTAATAAAACATGGATTTTTGGACAAATTTGTAAATATTTTTTCTCTGATTTTTCGGAGCACTTCTTTCGTAATTCGATCCCAAGTGTCTGAAAATTTCAAGAAAGAACTTCAATCTTTTTAAAAAATACACATTTCCTGAGAGGAAATTTGGCAACTTTCGAATGGTCATGCAGCGTTTTTCTTTAGCACGGCACACTGGGAAAAAAAACACATTGGATCTAGAGTCCAAACTCTTAAAAACATTGACAAGAAAAAGGACTCTTGATTCAATCAGATTTAAGCTTAAATCAAAAGGAAATCCACTCAAATTAAGAGGCTTGGTTCTTGATTTAAGCTTAAACCTGATTGAATCAAGAGTATTTTTTCTTGTGCATGTTTTTAAGAGTCTGGACTCTAGATACAATGTGTTTTTTTTTCCAGTGCAGGATGAAGTTCTAAAGTCTAAGTATTTTCCTCCGTGGTTCAAAAATCCAGGGCGGAGTCCCCATTGTGCGGCGTCGTGGCAAGTTCGACAGCCGACAAGTTACGACGCCTAATTTAAATTCAATTAAAAGGCGCGCGCGCCAACTATCCGCTAATCGCTCCCGCTCTGGCGCGGATCCTGCGAAGATGCTGCGAGCGAAATGCAAGCAGTGGCGTGGCGTACTTACCGATATATCGATTGATCAGCCATTTAAACCTATGGAAAAGGATCGATGAACAGGGTGCTCGCAGCGAACACCTTAATAATCGATTATTTACCACAGCTTCAAATGGGGAAATATCGATGGAACGCAAAGCACGCCACGCCACTGATTGCAAGATTCGTCCGATGCTAGGGGAGGGAATGGAGGGATGCACGCTCCGAGATCAGAATGGATCAAGAGGTGATGCGGTGCAGCATCGGTTTCAGCAACTGCCCGATTGTGTTAAGGTTTAATACCGACCGATTTCAATAAGTTAACCCACACTTCTGCTTTACTACTTGATTTATTCCTGGTCAAGGTTGTGAAAGAACAGCCCAGGAAAGCGCTCTTGTAGGTTAACAAGGAAGACATTAAGGTGATTCGATGGACGTCATATTTTGTGTCAGAACGGCATGCGATATATCGCATCAATTGGTTCCATTTTTCAGCTACTTGTTTTCAGCTTTCTCCAATTTTGAGATCGCAATTCTGTTATCAGGAGACTAAAGCACTCACTTACCAATTTTGACAAAGAAATTCCACGTAATAAAGGCGTAGTTTTTTAGAGAGAAAATATCGCATTCGAGTGCAGTTTCGATATCAGTATCGAATGCGATGTTTTCTCTCTAAAAAAACAACGCCTTCATTACGTTGAATTTCTTTGTTAAAATTGGTAAGTGAGTGCTTTGGGCTCCTGAAAACAGAATTGCGATCTCAAAATTCGAGAAAAATGGCGAGTAGCTGAGAAAATGGAACCAATTGATGCAATCGCATGCCGTTCTAACACAAAATATGGCGTCCATCGAATCACCTTCAGGTTTATAATACCGACCGATTTCAATAAAAGTTAACCCACACTTCTGCTTTACTACCAGATTTCTTCCTGGTCGAGGTTGTGAAAGAACAGCCCAGGAAAGCGCTCTCGTAGGTTAACAGAGAAGTCATTTACTTGAAAGATGAGTAAACTCTCAAAGAGACCTGAAAGTTGCTCCTAAATCATCCAAGTTTGCTTCATAGAGAAAGAAGGAGGTGTTAGCATCTTGAGAATTGTTTACCCCGTGACGCAGGTCGGTACAACCTGGACTGCAAAATCCGGAATTCGAAGTATACAAGACGGGCCACAACGTCCGATTTTTTTGCTTAAATCAACAGGGCCGGATTTACCTCCTTGCCGCCCATGGGCCGCCTGTATTTTGCCACCTTCTTCTCATTCGTTTTGAAACATCAATAAAAACTATCAAATGAACGTGCCAGCGGGGGAGGGGTGCATAAGACGTGTTTACTCGCGTTGAACACACTTTTTAGGAAAGCCCTGTCAACACTACTACAGCAAAAGTTCAGTTTCGTAAACCTATCTCTGTGTGGACAAGGCCTTCCATTCATAGGAAATGAACGAAAAAATCATGAAAGAACAAAAATAAATATGGATTAATGATTTTAACTTCCGCCGCCGCGCCTCGCAGACCGCACTCCGTTTGATGCAATGCGTGAAGTATTCGTGCAGACTTGTAGGCGCTAATATGTGTTACAAGCCGATCGCCTCGCCGAGGGCTTCTCCTTTTCATCTCAAGTCCTCGTCATCATTTCTCTCTAAGTCGCGCTAAGTTCCAGGCCAAATTGCGTGTTTGGTTTCTTTCTCAACTCGACTAATTAAAGGTGCTGTCTCTTGTATCACTGAAAGACGGCAAAATTAAAAATTACTATACTCTCAGGAAATGAGAGACTTTGTCGCCTTTTCTCGATTGTAATTTTTTTTCTAATTCCGATTTTTTTATACCTACATTTAAAAAAATTGCAAAATTTGCCGCCCCCTATTATGATTTGCCGCCATGAGCCGCAGCCCATGTGGCCACCCCCTTAATCCGGCCCTGTAAATCAACACATGATATAATTTCAAACACTTTATATAAAATTACTTATTTCCATAAACTATACATTATTTCCAAGAAAATCGAAGATAAAATTCGTTCGTACCGACCTACGTCATTTTTTCTCCATGAATTTGCTTTGAGAAAACATTTCCAACACAGGAAGGGAAGCTGTCGGTTCTACTTACAATCAATTTTGGCTGTGAAAAAATAAACCAAGTCATGAATCGAATCTTCCAAGTGTGATTTTTATCTGATGTGAGTTTTTAACAAGACGCTGAAGCATGACGTCTTCTTATGTAAATGTAACTTATTTTAAGCCCGAAGTACTTGAGTCTCAGCCTCACTAGCGAAAGAATCGCCATGAACTGTACTGAGCGCGAATAGATATGTTTCAATGGTTTCATATACGGTGCAGGCAGTGGCGTGGGGTGCTTTGCGATACATCGATTGATGTGTCATTCAAACCTATGAAAATTATCGATAAACAGGGTGTTGAAAAATCGATTCGGGAACAATCGCATTTCACGCGACCCCAGCCCCAGGGCTCCTGACGAGACGGAGGCAGAAAAAAAGCCCCCGGATGAGATTTTTATCAGTATTTTTAACCGCACGCCCCCAACTCAGCGCCGAGGGGCCGTTGATTACGTGCCGGGCGCAATTTCTAATTTCCTCTTATCTAATATGATATTCTCGAGGCAGGACACGTCTGCAGGTCGAGTGTTTATTAGTTTGCGGTGAGTGGTGCGCGGTGTAATGGTATACGGCGTGCGAGGTGCTGGTGCTTACCTGCCGTGGTGGGGTCCTGTCATGCTAGCATCGTGGGAAGAGCTCGCCATTATATCTTGATCGCGGATCTCTCCCGACTCCATCCCCAACGGTGAACCGCAGTGCACTGTCAACAGAAAAATCTCATGTTAGTCTTTTTCGCGGATGTGGAAAACGTGCCGAGACAAAATTTTCCATGCGAAGTTCGGATCCTGAAAATTAGAGCATGTACACAGCACTGAAAAACAAGTTCGGTACATCCAAACTAGTTAGGATCATATGGAACCAGGCTTTGTTCGGTACACACAACCGAATTATTCGGTCCGTTCAACCGAGTTGTTCGGTTTGTGCGACCGAACCATAATAAATTCTTACAGTTCGGTGCAGTGGACCGAACAGTTCGGCTGAGCAGACCGAATAATTCGGTCGTGCTCGTGCGTACCGAACAAAATCGTGGTTCCATATGATCCTAACTAGTTCGGATTTACAGAACTTTTCTCAGTGAGGGTGATCCAGGGTTAAACGGCTGGACTGTAGGAACCCATAGAACACGCGTTCTATGGGTCAAAAAAATACTTTTTTGTGCATCAAGTTTTTCCCAAAAGTGCCCCCAGTCAGAGCTACGCCCCCCCCCCCTCAAAAAAAAATTCGAAAAGTAAATCGTTTTTCCTGAATTTTGGCGACAATATGAACCAAATCTCATGAAAATTTGTACTCCCCCGTACTTTTATGCCCGAATTAATTTATAATCGAAAACAAGTCGAAACCTCAATTTGAAGAGGAGGTTTTGGGGCGTTTCTGCTCCTGCAGTCTAGCCATTTAACCCTGCAATACCCTGTATAAAGAGAGTATTGGAGACAAAGAGAGACCCTCTATTGTTATCTTGGCAATGGTGGAAGCTTTTACTTTCGGGGCCCCAAAATTCAACTGTTGACCTAAGTACTAAGTGGATGTTGAGCAACGTGTTGGGTACTTCGTTTGGCAAACACATCGAAGTTTCGCAAACTTGTTCGGCTCATCACGTTACCCGAAGCTCTTGATCCACCTTATAGGTGTTTCAACAGCTGAAAAAAGGGTAATGACTGCTGCTCTCCTATAATTGTCCATTAGGACGTGTTGAATCCCCGAAAGAAAAAGTTTCCACCTATCATCAAGAGGCAATGGAACCAATATTTTGTCTGATTTTTGCATGAAATCAGGAAAAATTCAATGCCATTTTAGATGAGAAATGCCCAAGATCCTCTTGGTAAAAGTGGAATATTGGGGATGACATTTTGAAAGATTAAAATGCATTTACATTCCTGAATGAAGAAAACGACGCATAGCCCATTAATATCTTCTTGATATTAAAAATTACGACAGACTTCGGGAAAAATATTAATAAAAAATAGTCCCGACCGCAAAGACTCGAACATCTGAGTGTTTCGTCCATACCAATGCATCACGTTTGAAGAATTTCACACTCGGCAACACAGTGAGCGTGTATTCACCTACTTTCCGATCTTTCAGCGCGTCTCCCGATCAGCTCAAATTCCATACGACTGCTTCCCATAATTTTACAACTTCCACAGCTGATCGCTGCGGGAGGCTGGTTGGAGGCACCACGGGTTCACGACATTAGCGCAGTTTGATTTCTCGACGGTGGGTCTCTTTACGGCGAGACGAAGGTATTTTTTTCCGAACTCTCGAGACCATGAAAACAATAATACAGCGAGAAAACTGCGAAAAAACTTACTTATCTCACCAGGTTAGGAAAACTGGTTCCTGATCGTATGGTGGGTTAATATTGATGTCTATCATAAACTCGGTTGACACGTGTAGGTCAATACTCGGTTTATTGACCTTCTAGATTCACATATCTGTTGTGATGTATGAACGTAGTTTATTCGAGAAAATCAATAGGTTTTAGATCGATGTATACACCTTTGTCATCCTATAAAACTTTTTGGTATTTTTTAAAATTATGGGATTATTTGCGTACATTTTGAGCTGACAAGTACTCAGCGACATTTTGTAATGAGTGCCACCAATTATAATCGTTCATGAACCGCGAAAAAAAAAACAATTATTGCGCATCAAAATGCGTTTGATTTAGTTTTAGCGCCTTACAACTTCATGAAGCACCACACGGAAAAAGGTCGATTTATGTTACGAGCAAAATAGTTCAAGCGACGTTAAACGATAAAAGCTCAGTTTATAACCGAGCATTTTCTCTCCATTGTATAGAGAATTTGGAAATTAAATACCCTTCCCAGCAGAGGTGTTCCCGATGCAATTTTTAGCCGAAGTTTTTTTTCCCCTTATACTCCTGTCATCGCGCGTCATTGAAGTCCAAACATTAATTCATCGAAAGTGATTCATAGCGAAAGAAAACATTTCGTGGTGTTGAGCGCACGGCCGCAAACATTCGAGCCAAAGGAAACAAGTCCAATTTCAGACGATCTCCGGCGTGCTCGTATACTGCCGCGCTAAAGAAGGACGTCGTATGAACTTTTGGGAGTTGCCAAATTTCCTTCAATAAAGTAGATAGATAGATAGATAGATAGATAGATAGATAGATAGATAGATAGATAGATAGATAGATAGATAGATAGATAGATAGATAGATAGATAGATAGATAGATAGATAGATAGATAGACAGAGAGATATAATTTTATTGATGCATACAGCCTATAGCAAAAAGCTCTGGCACAAGTCAAATTTACAATTTATACAACAATTACAACAATTTAAGCGAAATGAAATTATGCAGGTTCTTCGAGAAATTCTTTTAGACCATAATAGGCTTTCTTTTTGAGTTTTATTTTCAATTGGTTAAGGAATATGTTGACGGAACTTAATAAAATGTTTATCTGTAAGGAAAATTATAAATATTTTTCCGTGAAATTTTCCGGAACTTCAGGTGAAATTGCGAACGACAATATGTGAAAAATTGAAAGAAAAATATTCATAAGTTCACCTGGAAAGTCGTGTTTTATAAATGGAAATTCGGCGACGCCTGAAGGTTTATACGGCGTTTTTCCTTAGCACGGCTCATACTCACTCGCCTCGAGGTCCGACTGAAAATGAATGCGTAATATTGGAACGGTGATAGGTTCCTTTCGACTGAGGCGGGATGATTTGCGGTTGCGCGTCCTGTGCGGAGTTCAAAGCGGAGACGAAAATACATCAAACGGCCGCGGCGGCCCTGTCAGAGGCAGTGAATTTCAGCGGAGACACTTGATCCGGCTTCAGCACGTATTCAGGACGAAATTTATGACAGCTGTAATTAAGGGCCCCTCTCGTTTCCGAGGAGGCGACGCTGACTTTTCCGCCGGAGACGAGCGCCAACGGATGTGCGAATGAAAGATGGGCCCGGGGGCATTAGAATTAAGCGTACAGCCTGCATCCCGGATTCCAACGAGTCAGGAGAGGGATTTCGCGATGGATTTAACGATGCTGGCAAATTTGTCGATTTGCAATGGCGAGGGGCATTCTAGGTTCAACAATTCGTCACCTTCTAGCCGAAGTATTATATACAGGCACCATGCGCCGTTTAAATATTTTCGCCGCAATTGCATTTTTTACAGATAAATTGTTCAACGAAGCTGTCCGAAAATTTTACTGAGTTTTCTATGTGCCGTCGATAGAATTCGGTGAAATTTTCGAACACATTTAACCAACAATTTCTCTGTAAAAACATAAAATTGAGGCGGGATTTTAGGAACTTCGTATTTCGTTTGTGATACTTTGGCTGGACGTGACGAATTCTGAATTTTTCGAGGCTCAGGGTTGCCAACATCTCTTCATCATCAAAACCTTGACTTCCCTGACTATTTTTGCTTTCCTCTAACTTCAACATTTTCCAACTCCCTGACATTCCCTAACCTCCTAATAAAGTTACCACTTTTTTTCTTCTTCTGTTTGGTGTGAAATATGCTGACTTTGGTTAAACTTAAGACAAAATTCCCTTGTCCAGAGATCATATCAACCAACCGTATTCGTGGAAAAAAAGGCATCCAGTAGCTGTTTAAAAGACGACGAGCCTTTAAAATGACCAGAGAGTAAACAGTTGGTAGATCAGCGTTGGTAGATGTATCAGAAATTATGTAACTTCTCCCACGAATTCCCTGAGTTTCCCCATCCCCTGTCGTCGCGAATTCCCTGACCTTCCCTGATTTTAGCAACACCGATAGTTTGATTCCTGATGAAAACAAGGCAATGAACTTGTTGGGGGGGGGGGTCTAATAGACAGGTCTTACAAGGGGGAGGATGCCAAAAAGTCGTCCAATTTGTCTGTTATATAATACTTGAACGGTCCTCGGGGTGCTTGGGGGTCCTCTGGTTATTGGTCCATTCGTAATTAAGTGCTCATTAAGAGACCCACAATGCTTTCCAGAATTAAAATATTCCTTCAGTATAGATAATCGAGATAAAGTGGTCTCTGGTTTTATACTCCTTTTAGATCAAATGAGATCAAGCTTGATATACTCTTAACTGGGGCTCAAAAAATGAAGACATTATACTCTCATCATGTGACTCGTTTGATTGAGCTGAACCGAGTCGGGGATCAACGATGCATGGCCTCGTGGACAAACAGACCGTTGGTTCATCAACAAACAAAGCTGTCCCCGGGTAACTGGTAATGAGGAGGTGGAGGTCTCAGTGAGTGATGAAGATATGATACAAAGACCGCGGCGGAAAGAATGACGGATATTTAACCACGCTCTCTTCGTAGCGCCATCCGCCGCCGCCGCCCCTAGTTTCAGTGCCACCTTCGCGGCCGTTGTGCCGGAGTTGGCTGAAAATACGTCAATTTTGAGACATTTTTATTTCAGTTAAAGTAAGAATTTTCAAGTCAGATTAAAAATCATTTTCGTATTTTTGGACTGGAGGAATAGACTAGAATACAGGTTTAAAATCTGTCAGTCAATTGCGCTAGTCTCAAAATCGTTTCTTGATGGCTAATGCAGTACGCTCAAAAATCACAGAAAAATATAAACGCCAAGTTTTAACGTCCAACATTACCGAAAATTTTTCTTTATCTCAGCAAAATTGCTCTCTTTTAATTTTATAGCCCCAAAATTATTGTTCTTAAATTTCTTTATTTTTCTTTCACTTTCATTGTAAGTGTAATTATTTATAAT